GAAGGGGGCGTGGTATCCAAAATCTGTAAATTACAAAATCTTTGTACCGATTAACTTTATACACAACGCAAATTTGAAGACTCCAGGTCTAAAAATGTTCAAATTAGGCCAAAAAAACAAAATCAATTTTTCGATTATTCTCGATAAAAAAGTTATCGGACAATTTATAGAAAAAATTTAATCATTTAAGATGAGAGCCTAGATAAGAAAACTTGCCTGCGATAACAGATAAGATAGAAACAGTAATGCTTTCTTTGTTTGAACAACAATTAAAGGTATTTACGTTTCTATAGCATCAGTAGGTATAATTGATGATACCATAGATTTAGGTCAAGGTGGTGGATGACTAAGTGAATTTGGAGTTGATAGAGCAAGCAAATTGGTATCAACAACAGAGTCAGATTGGGAATGACGACTATCGAAGTTATACTCTTTTTATATTTCTTTCTTCAGCAGTTACCAAGTCGAAATTCAATGATGTTCTTATTAAACGAAATTGCTTAGTGAACGAACGACCCAATATTTATTGTATTGATACTTTTTTTATAACCTGAACCCATTGAAAATAGAAAATCTGGTTGTAAGGGTTTTGTTAAATGTATATAAGAGATAGAAAGAGGCCTTAAGGGGTTGACAACCGGAACCGATTTAACCCTGTCAGTTTGTCTGTCTGTTCCCCAGTGAGAATGTATAAGCGCATCGATCTCAGAAGATATAAGAGCTACAGACTTGAAGTTTTTTGTGCGATCAGATCGAGATTTCTTCCAGGAATCGAGAACTATTCAGATAATATGGCCTCTTTATTGTTATATATTATAGCATATTAATTAATAAGTTTTCCTGTCGTACATTTTGAAAACATTATTATCATATGATCATAACATTGAATATCTGAACTTATATTTGTAATATAATATTAAAATTTAATTTTAGATCTCTCTCGTATTTATAAATGAAGAAAAACGCTCTGACAGTATAAACGCTGAATCCTCAGTAGATAACAGTAGGAGCAATAATCAAAGCTCAGAAAATCTTCCTGGTGATAATAATACGAATCTAAGCAGTGAGGGTTCAGTTTTAAACTCTCCGTCCTCAAGTCGTTTGTTTGAAGGTCCATTTCATACCAGTGATGAAAGAAGTGAGGGACAATCTCACCTAACAGCACAGAGCAGAAAACTAGTAAGTATAATGTGTTAGACACAAAAAACCTTGGGACCTAAGAATTTATTTTTGTTAGACGAAAATTCAACATAAAAAGTCAACTATCTCAAAATATCCTGCAATGGCATCTAAACGCAAACAATCTTCTTCGAAATGCCTACTAAGTGCTAATAATACCTCGTCAGGCAAGGACAACAAAAAACAGCATATTTTTAATCAACCGTCCCGTAAACAAATCGAAATGGTGGCAAACAATTGGCCCAGTAACATCTATGAAAAAGCCTCAGAGGGTCTACATATATTTGATCGATGTAATATTTCCAATATTTCCAATATTTCTGGCGGAGATAAAATTTTCGAACAGAATTCACACAATACTTACAAACGATCATCTTCTGATTTAAATCAAAGTGGTGAAGAAGGAGACGAGGATTGGGAATCCGGTGAGTACCCCAAAATACAGTTTTTTATCCCAAAATACATTCTTTATCTGTATTTCCATGACAAAAATACAAATTTCGATTACTTATTAAAATATGCTTTAATGATCTACAAGCGCTCACCAATTTTTCGTGTAATACTGTCTACTCTTTAAGGGTCTTCCTTCTTGCTTTACTCTACGGGAAGAACTTTTAAAGTGAAACACACCATTAAAAATTTCAGTAATTCATCTTCTGTGATGCTATGAATGATATTTAAAGGTCGATAGATCTAAATTTAATCAAGTTCATAGACAGAGTTCTGTCTGTTTAGAAAGTGCTTTTAAATATTGCAAAATATTTACAAGGGTTGCGATCTCAAAATTAAAACCGAATCTAATAGCTTTGAATTGTCTTTCTTTTTTGCAATATTTCTGTGCCCTGTAATGCATGGGTCGGAGTGTAAAAGAAGGTAATTTAATATGTCCGTATTTGTTGATATTCATGACATTTTGCGAGTATTATTGAGTCTGATGGCGGGCTCTATAACAACAGATCCGTAAATGAGCACCTTATGCACTGTCGCCCGCAAACAGTACCAAAGATACTCCTTGATTAACTCTTTGGCAGTATCTAAGGGATATTGATTGAATTTTTCCACACTGATTTTGTACACACATCTGCATGTTTGTACAGCTATGTATGCAATAGAGCTGGGAATTAGAGCTGGGCAATCTAACGAAGTTGTTGCGAGCGTGGAGCGTGTAAGGTATAATAACAATAAATTGCAATCTTTTTATACTCATTCACGAAAGTGAATTAGTATATTTGTTTTTTGCAGTGACCGTCCGTCTGTCCGTATGAACGCAATCTATTTCGGCGCTATTGAAGTTAGAGACTTGAAATTTGGAATACGTGTATATCTCCGATTTATAAAGTATTCCAATTTTCCCGATCCTCCACTAGGGACCAGAAATCATATTAGTTGAAGAGCTAGAAAGCTGATATTCGGCATATAGATCCGTATCAACCACCCAAGATCACGAGCTATGGCGGATATATCTACGCCTATTGGGGGCGTGGCAAATCGGATAAAACTGTATCGCCAAGAGTTTTATAGCTAGAGCGCTGAAATTTTGCACGTCAGCTAAGGTTATGATTCTATTAAAAAAAAATTATATGTATACGCCCTTTAGAGCGTGGCAAGTCGGACCTGAAGATATAGTGATTTTTTAAATTCTGCTATATTTTGAACACTATTGACACCAGAGACCTAAAATTTTTTATATATACTCGGGCTTGCCACCCAAGACCAAAAAACTTTGTCGGATATACATATGTCCGCTTACAGGAGGCAAACCGCAAAAGTTGATATCTCCTAAAGTATAATAGCTAGAAGCTCAAATTTAGATAGTTAAGTTACTAGTAACCTCCTCTATCGATGACCCAAAAATAATGTTTACGCCTCTTTAGGAGCGTGGCATACCGAAAAATACCCTGTAATTTTCAAATTTTTTGAGGGTAAGCATTCAAACTTTGCAGTTAGGATACCGTTATCTCGTTCTAAGAACTGACTAAAAATGAGGTGTTGTAAGGTTACATTAATTTTTCAGCCGGGGTCAGAGTATCAGTCTGCCCAGGGCCATAACTTACAAGAAATTTATAAGTTACTACGGGACGTACATTGTTGGTGAAATTGGAGAGGGGAAGGGTACCATTTGAGGTTAGGTGACCACGCGGCCTGAACTCGCCGACCACGTCCACGCGTTTGCACGCGGGAGGGCGACAGCAAACGAGTGGCGCGATCAAGCGCACTCTAGATTGCTGGGGTCGGGGTTGCGAAGGCGTGCTGTGGGGAGTTAGTGGGGCCACTACGAATGGTGGATCGCGGGTCGAGGAATGCCCAGCGTTGCCGCCGTCGTTTACTCACAGACCACGCGATTTTCACTGCCAGAGATTTACCCTTCTGGCGAACGCGTCGTAACCACGTTCAAACTACCAGTTAGTGTTGTTATAGTTAATTGCAGTTAAAACTAACTGCTATAACACTTACGGCTACTTATTAACTACTTAGCGCTATTTTACAAACGAATGCTTATTCTACTAATAGCCTAACTTACTCTCTACCAAAATATGACTTCATAATTCAACTCATTATCTATGAACCAAAAATATAAATCGACTACTTCAAAATATACCAAAACCTAGTTCCACCGTTTCCGCTTATTTACTACAAACTATTTACTACAA